TGATTGATTGATTGATTGATTGATTGATTGATTGATTGATTGATTCGATGGATTGATTGATTGATTGATTGATTGATTGATTGATTGATTGATTGATTGATTAATTGATTGATTTATTGATTGATTGATCCAATGATGCTTTTCGAATTTTTTTTTTTTTTTTTTTATTGATCGATCGATTGACGGGAATTTTTTTTTTTTTAATCCAGGTGGTGTAGGGCCGAACGCGTGATCTGTCGGGCTGCGAGAAGGAGGAGAAGGCGGCGGCGGAGGAGGAGGAGGAGGAGGAGGAGGAGGAGGAGGAGGAGGAGGAGAGAGGGAGAGGGAGAGGAGGAAGGAGGAGGATCGTCGAGGAGGAGAAGAAGGATCAGCGACGAGGAAGGAGGAGGAGGCGGCGGAGGAGAAGGAAGAGGAGGAGGAGGAGGCGAGGAGGAGGAGGAGGACAAGAGAAGGAGGATCGCCGAGGAGGAGGAGAAGGAGGAGGAGAAAGAAAGAGGAAGGAGGAGGAAGGAGGAGGATGGAGGAGGATCGACGAGGTGGAGGCGGAGGAGGGAGAGGAGGAGAGAAGGAGCATCGCCGAGGAGGAGGAGGAGGAGGAGACAAGGAGGAAGGAGGAGGACCACCGAGGAGGAGGAAGGGGGATCACCGAGGAGGAGGAGGAGGAGGAGAGAAGGAGGAAGGAGGAGGAGACCGAGCAGAGGGGAGATCTGTGATGGAGGAGGATCGATCGATTGGCGGGAATTTTTTTTTTTTTAATCCGGGCGGTATGGGGCCGAACGCGTGATCTGTCGGATTGCGAGAAGGAGGAAAAGGCGGAGGAGGAGGAGGAGGAGGAGGAGGAGGAGGAGATAGGGAGAGGAGGAAGGAGAAGGATCGTCGAGGAGGAGAAGAAGGATCGGCGACAAGGAAGGAGGAGGAGGCGGCGGAGGAGGACGAAGAGGAGGAGGAGGAGGCGAGGAGGCGGAGGAGGACAAGAGAAGGAGGATCGCCGAGGAGGAGGAGAAGGAGGAGGAGAAGGAGGAGGAGAAAGAAAGAGGAAGGAGGAGGAAGGAGGATGATGGAGGAGGATGAACGAGGTGGAGGCGGAGGAGGGAGAGGAGGAGAGAAGGAGCATCACCGAGGAGGAGGAGGAGGAGCAGACAAGGAGGAAGGAGGAGGACCGCCGAGAAGGAGGAAGGGGGATCGCCGAGGAGGAGGAGGAGGAGGAGAGAAGGAGGAAGGAGGAGGAGACCGAGCAGAGGGGAGCTCTGTGTTTGGATACTGTGTTGGTGTGGCTTGAGGGCTTGAACATTGGCTCATTACTTCATGGTATGTGGTCTCTGCTTGCACATGACTACGTGCACATCTCTGTGATTCCGCAACTGGGTTTTCTGTATATTGTTCATACTCAAATTCCTTGCAAATCAATCAATCAATCAATCAATCAATCAATCGAAAAAAAAAAATAAAAAAAATGTTATCCAATCGAATCGATTGATTCGATTGGATCTTGATTTTCGAAATTAAGATCCAATTGAATCAATGGATTCGATTGGATAACGATTTTTTTTTTTTCTTCGATTTATTAATTGATTGATTGATTGATTGATTGATTGATTGGTTGATTGGTTGATTGGTTGATTGGTTGATTGCTTGATTAATTAATTAATTAATTAATTAATTAATTAATTAATTAATTAATTGATTGATCCGATGGTGCTTTTCAAACCTTTTTTTTTTTTTTTTTCATCGATCGATTGATGAGATTTTTTATTTTTTTTTTAATCCGGGCGATATGGGGCCGAACGCGTGATCTGTCAGACTGCGAGGAGGAGGAAAGGGTCGAGGAGGAGGAGGAGGAAGGAGGAGGATCGCTGAGGAGAAGGAAGAAGGATCGGTGAGGAGGAAGGAGGAGGAGGCGGCGGCGGAGGAGGAAGAGGATGAGGAGGAGGCGAGGAGGAGGAGGAGGAGGAGGAGGAGGAGGAGGAAGGAGCATCACCGAGGAGGAGGAGGAGGACAAGAGAAGGAGGATCACCGAGGAGGAGGAGAAGGAGGAGGAGAAAGAAGGAGGAAGGAGGAGGATGGACGAGGTGGAGGCGGAGGAGGGAATGGAGGAGAGAAGGAGCATCGCCGAGGAGGAGGAGGAGGAGGAGAGAAGGAGGAAGGAGGAGGACACCGAGGAGGACGAAGGGAGATCGCCGAGGAGGAGGAGGAGGAGGAGAGAAGGAGCAAGGAGGAGGAGGCCGAGCAGAGGGGAGCGACTTTGGACACTGTGTTGGTGTGGCGTGAGGGCATGAAAATTGGCTCATTACTTCATGGTATGGGCTCTCTGCTTGCACACGACTACTTGGACATCTGTGTGATTTCGCAACTGGGCTTTTTGTATATCGTTCAAACTCAAATTCCTTGCAAATCAATCAATCAACGAATCAATCAATGAATCAATGAATCAATCAATCAATCAATCAATCAATCAATCAATCAATCAGTCAATCAATCAATTAATCAATCAAGCAATCGATCGCGATTGCATCTTGATTTTCGAAATCAGGATCCAATCCAATCAATCGGTTCGATTGGATAATAGTTTTTTTTTTTTTTTTTTT